TCCTGACTAAAGTAGCACTTTCTGTTGTGCTAACCGTCAGCCGCTGTTGTAGTGCCAACACACTATTGTTCCTAATTCTTTTATTACTACTTGGTTATTTTTCCAAACTTACTTAGGCTACAAGGTTCAGCTGCAGGATTGCCTTATCAGCTGCCGCAGTTTTCGATGTCCTTCAAGGATTCACACTGTCACCTCTCTTATTCCCAACACGTTGGTTTCGTACCTGTCCCCCAGGAAGTTCTCTTGCTAAACTTTATTGGTGACGTATTCAACTTAGCTCCCAAACTAATTTGTAAGGCTGTTCGCATGAACTGCTGTAATCGTCAAAATTTCGTTGTTTGCACTGTTTAAACTTTCTAAAGCAGGCTGTTGCCAGAAACTTGTCATGTTCCGGCCAAAAGTCCACATCAATAAGAAAGTTTAGTTTTCCCATCTCACCGTGAGCCGCGATTTATTTGTGGTTACTACGTGAACCATGGCGATGAGACTGGACCTTAACGTGGTGCGATGGTTTGTGGGCCTCAGCAATCCATTGAGCTATGCTGGATGGTGCTTTTTGCACCTTCAGAGCCACTCATACCAGATTGGTCAATGGTTGGAAGCGAGAGAAACTCAGTCTCCAGGTTGGGGGTTAGAGTGAGGGTGGCTCCTTACTACATAATTTGGGCTCTCTGTAGTCCAATGTCAAAAGCCCGGTGCCTTGCCTTAAGGTTGTCGAACCAAAGGCTTTGGTTGAGAACCCTTATCGTTCTCCTGTCTAGGATTGGGCAACCTGACAGTATCCTGCCTACGCAATACACCATGACTTTTCCTTTTAACAATCTCTTGTTGCTCTGGTCGTCGCTGAGCATAATAAACGGTGCCCTATCTGCATCATTGAGCAGGGTGGATAGGTGTTTAGATGCTACTGCTCAGCGCTTCCCGTCTTCTTATCCACCTTCTTGCGATTTTTCAGCCTTAGCGTACCGTTCCAACTTCACTTTCATCCCCCGTTTTCAATCCCCAATGCTTGACCTTCTCCCACCTTGCTTCAATAGTAGCTTGTCTCCTAGTTTCAATTCACACACAATCGCAGGGCGTCGCTCCAATCCAGTCGATAAGTTCATGTTCAACCAAGCTGAAAACGTAAGTTCATTCGCATCTTTTTGGAGTCCTCCATCCTCGCTAAGACTGGCATGCCTCAACCTGCGCACCTTTCTACAGACTGGCCAACAGGCAGCACTTTCCCAAATACTCGAGACCCTATGGATCGATATTTGCTGTTTATCAGAAACCCGCCTGCAAGCTTCGAGCTCCATGCTTACTCTGCGATCCCCCACATGTGACACTGGCGGCACATTCTCATTGCGCTTGTCTGGCGATGATGCAGCTTCAAATGCCGGTCAAGCTGGCGTCGGCATTGTTTTGAGTCCCCGGGCTTAAGCAGCCCTGATCGACTAGACCTCAGTCAACAGCCGGATGTGCGCATTTAGGTTGGCTGGTTGTTCCAGGCTTCGAAGTCGCGCGAGGATAAACAGTGCCTGTTGGTCATTGCGGCCTTACGCAGCCCCGATTCGGTGAAAGATGATTTCTATCACCAACCTAACGATCTTCCTTACAGAAGAAGCACGGATACTGTGCTGTTGGCTGGCGATCCAAACGCCCAAGTCAGGAAATTGGCCTCACGCTACATCTGGGCGGCCAACATGGTGTAGGCTCCCGTAATGATAACGGTGAGCGGTTGTTACACCAGCGGGAAGGTGCTCGTCTCTTTCTCCGGAGCACTAACATTTGACATAGCACCCGCAGAAGAGGGCTTATCGCCCAATGGTCTTGGGCCAGCCATGGATGCAAATAGTTACTGCTGGAATGGCTGTGTCATAAACTGTCGCTCGATTTGGAGCACCTACGGGGACTCCGATCACGCACTTATATGCGACTACCTGCGGGTGCGTTTCGGCGGACGTCTGTAAAGTCGCTGTGAGCACACTGACACAAGCCAGCTGGCGAAGCCAAGTGTTCTGAGTGTGTGTTAACCTACGCGGGCATCTGGGTTGTGTAAGCATCCAATGAACACCGTCGAAGATCACCGGTCGAATATTCGTCAAACGTTACTATCAGCAGGCACATTTCATGTGGCAACTAAAATTGCCAACGTATATCTTGGATTTCTACAAAGTGGCTGTAACTTACGGATATTCGCCGCCGTATTCCTGCTGGAAGCGAATACAATGAGACTCGTAAAATTCTCAGGGTAAAACTGCGTGTTAGCCTGAAGAGAGACCGCGAAACCTAGTGACCTCATCGAGCATCGGAAACGAGAATAGTCGCTGTCGTCGGTAATCCTTGTAAGTTGTTCCGTCTGATACAGAAAATAGACGGCAGGAGACCTGGCTTTAGCGAGACACTACACGATACGAGTGGACAGCCGATGCACAGCTGGTTAAAACGCTTGGAGCGTTGGGCCGAACACCTTGCAAGACCGTTTAAGCAATCTGAGTTATCCCTTTCTCTTTCGGACACTGAGCGACCTTCTCCACGAGCCGTCTCCTTAGATCCCCGCTCTTGCGCAGCAGTCGAAAGTGAGATCAGACTGTTGAAATTACATAAGGCCGCTGGTGCAGATAGAATTCCCCTAGCTCTCTACAAATTCGGGGGACCTGCTCTTTTGGATGATTTACATGAGTTGCTACTGGAACTTCGCGAGCAGAAAGCTGCCCCCGACAGACTGGAGCCGACCGATCATAGTCCGAATTTTCAAGGGAGGTTCCAGTTCAGAATGCTGAAACCATAAATGGATCAGCCTGCTCTTAGTTGTCCTTAAATTCCTTTCCTCTGTCATTCTCCACAGACAGACAAGTGGTCCTGAAGACCAGATCTGAGAGGAGCAAGCCGGGTTTCGTCGAAATCAATGCTGCAGCGACCACATCTTCACTGTGCGTCAATTGTTAGAGCACTGCCACCTTTATTGGCGACCCACCTTTGTTTGTTTCTCGGCGTCAAAGGTGCCTTCGATTCGGTGGATCGATATGCCCTATGAGACTGTCTGCTGAGAAAAGATATGCCTGATAAATATATAAACATTAGCAAACGGCTGTACATGCATAGTTCGAGCAGAGAGATGGTTTATGGCAAGCTGTCGCTGACCTTCAATATCTCCAGCGCGTTGAGACAAGGTTGCCCTATTCCACCACAACTCTACAGCTTCGCCATTGACGAAGTCATGGAGACTGCTTTTACAGGACACGACTTAAAAGGTGTGGAGCTGCTCCCAGGTGAACGACTTCTTACCTTGACGTACGCATATTACATTGCCCTCAAATGTGACAGTGCCCAAACGTGTCAGGACCGATTAGGACTGGTTGTCAATCGTTTTGGGCTATGCTTTACTGCATCGAAATGCAAAGTTCTTCTCCAACGTTGGCGGGACTCACCCCTACACTAATGCTTTGTGGTGATCAGCTAGACCTTCAGGAATTCAAGTACCTGGGCAGCTATATTAGCGCCCGTGAGATCGAAGATGAGTTTACGAACCGAATAGCAAAAGCACGTGGGGCTTTTGCCAATCTCTGCCACCTTTGGCGTCGACCCGGCATTACTCTCACTCGGAAGGGCAGAGTTTATAACACAGCTGTCCGTTCAACTCACCTATATGGTTGTGAAACCTGGCTTATCAGATCGATAGAGATAAAGAGACACGTCATATTCGATTATCGCTGCCTTTGCAGCTTAGCTCATATCTGCGTCGCCTATTTGGTGCAGGAAGTGCGAGTGAACCGCTCAGCATCATTATATAGCGCACCAGACTCCGATGGCTGCGCCATGTGTGGCGCTGCCAGCACACCGCCTCCAGTTACGTGCACTGCCTGCGCACCTGTGGTGCGGTTGGAAGAGGAAGACGGGAGGCCAAGTGATAATTTGGTCGAGAGAAATGAAAACCCTCAGTTCGAAGTTAGCGTCGGTTGGTGCATCCTGACTGCCTGGTTGGGGCCCTAAATACGATGAACATGTTTGGTTTGACACACATGTTGTTATGACTAGGAGCCGGCCCCAATGGCGTTTGTGTTGTAAGTTCCTTTGTCCACCCCCTGCAGCTTAGCCTCCTCCTCCAATCATGATCTCATTCGTTAGGCATAAGATAACTCTTTGCGGCACCATAGCTGGCTGTTAGTTCTCCGGAACGATGTCAATGAATTACTGGGGACTCAGCCGGGGTGCCACTAGTTTTTGTCTTTTAGTCTTTTATATTGCTGCACAATAGCTGAGGTGTTTTTCACCTGCAGTTGACGTGTATACTTATACATGAGGATGACTCACGTGAATGAAACGTTCATAAAGTCAGCAGACTGTTGTTTTACTTCTCTCGATTTCGGTCATTTTGCGTATTACGCAATTTATTTCTGAGGTTTGTTACTGCTTGTATTTTTCTGCACAGGACTTTACGCTTTCCTATGAGTTTACGTTATGAGTTAGTGTGAGTATTTCAAACTGCTTGACGAGTCGTTGAAACATTTGTATCGCTGCAGTGGAATTCAAAATACAAATTAGGCCAGGAATTTGCAGATTGCTATGCTATCTGTGCACAGAAAATATAACTGAGCCACCCAGTGTGAAACATACCGTCTAAATGTATATCTACTGCACCACCAGACGCAAATACAGAGCAATAGTACCATATATCCCTGAAAGTGGACCTACGACTCGTCGATCATTCTCCACCTAACTAGCTTTCGGCTTAATATGACCCCTACCATCCAAGAACAGGCCGGTAAATTTCAAAAGTAAAGTTGCGTTATTCACTGAACACTCATCATTTGCTGCCGTTTTACTGCTCCCGCATCACTAACTTTTTACCATTTTTGGGCTAACTAGATTACGGCTGAGGATTCACAACCCATGAATGCACAGAAGGGATATATTGACTTGACTTGAAGCGACGACAATCACCAAATTTAACCAAGCCATCATAAATCACACGGAGTATAGAATACTAACAGATTAGTTAATAAGAATTAGCTCACCTGCTTGCTCCAGCTAACTGGACATCACTTAAGGAGAGGATGACTCTTTCATGATGGCCACCAAGGAATACGTAAATACAGGTGTTGTTAGCGGGATAATTTTGTGGAAATCTGGGACTAAAGAATTGTCCCTCCAGCTTCCATCTGTGAACAGATTGCTTGTGTCTGAGCATTTTTGGGCTGTGAGCCAAGTAGGGACTGAGGAAAAGGCGCTTGCAGACTCCGTCGGACACCAAAATTCCGTCACTGTCGTACCAAGCTGTGAAGTTTGAACACATTGGCTAATTAGGTCTATTCCGATCAATTTAAAACAGATAAAACAAATAATGATAACAACAAAATATTGTAAACACTAGCTCGTGTTTATTTAAACACTTAAAATGCTGCATTGTAATGCATTCTGCTATCTGCACACGAGGTGTAATTTATCAGGGATTAAATTCCTTTCATTCTCACAGTATTTTAGTTCGAGCTAGAAGCTTGCAACGGATCTTGAGCACTGGTTGGAGCAATCACAAATTATCACTTGAACCAAAACTTGCAAACATGTTCTCCTATTAAATATAAGCTGACAAAATGGTGCTTACCAACTACAAAACAAGTGGAAATCTTTAACAGTTGTCTAGCTCAAAGTTTGAATTAATGTTTAGTTTTCAAACGCAGTGGGTACAAAGAAACCGCCGAAGAAAAAAATAACATCGCGAGCTGTCACTTTTTAGCCGATATGATTGTACCTTACGTGCTTTTGTTTTGTTTTTGGTCTCACGATGCATATTCTGTGGACGATGCGTTGCGGCATATGATGCCTACCTGACCCATGCTAAACGGAATTGCGGGACATATTTTCGTTTCTTCCCTATTGACAGTTCGTTAACTAGTGCTGACATTCAGTTCTGGTCTACGAGGAAGCTGCACCAACACGAGTAGTTTAAAATATGCTATTCAAACCCCCCAAAACTGTAAATACAAATATTCCATTACCTCTACCTTACCTTGTTGATCACTGGTTGCTTCAGTGGCTTTGCGACTCACCTTTGTGAATCGTCTCTTCGCCTCCATGTCAGTTTCTTAGCTGGATGTTGCTCGCTCCGCTCTTTATCAGTAGATTGACGACTGTTACTAAATGGTCGTAGTGGGAGTGAGTACAATGTTGTTAAATTAATGCAAGCCGAGGAGACCTAAAATAATTGCGCGAAATCGACCAGTTGTGCTTAGGTTGATACTACAATGTAAACCAGGACCAGGTAACCAAAAGTAACCGACTTCAACCATGACAGAATCTTTTCAACCAGGTATTATGTAGTTGCCAGGGTGTATTTAAATATTACTGTCCAATTTTTCTCAACTGTTTCACCAATTGCATAGTTGTTGTCCTATTTGTCGCAAGATGTATAATTCAATTGATCTGTTTCTTCTCTTGCTAGGTTCGAAAATGTCACTCCACGAAATTCCTGGGGATTGTTTATTTGACTTACGATAAGTTGCATAAAACACCAATATGCAAAGCGGGGTTAGACACGACATTCGAAGAGCAAAACAATTAACGTTATCTGAATGATGTTCCGTCCGTAGGGAAGATGGTCCAACGGTCAGCTGTCAATAAACAACAAGAGCATCGCCCAAGTTTGCTCGTTCCGCGCGGAGTTGACTTCAGATGCATCCAAACTACTCTTTGCAAGTAAAAGCCTAACTACTGCGAATCTCCTCTGACAGGATTCAGGCTGATGGGTATAATGATTATGTTTTCTAAAGATCAAAAGAGGTCTTTGTAACTTAGTTGAACTGTCCAGAAATACAGATGCAAAGTAAAAGAAACAGTATAGTATTATAATCTGCACGCTGTAATATGTAATGTGTTTAGCGGTGTATAAATCAAAACTTAATAACTTTATTGTCAGACCTCGTTAAAGCGACGTTCTCCCCATACACTCTGCTCAAAAAACAATTAGACCTACTGGCCACTCCAGTCTACAAAGCTCAAGTTCACCAATAGAGTTGTGTCATGTAACGGCAAAACTGAAATGCCTTCGTGAATACTCCTGGATCAAGACAATTTGTTTAGCGTACTGAAGCACTGTAATCCAGCTCCAATTGCTGGATAAGGCCTCACGTAGAGGGTGATATGTTAAACCCTTCTAAGGGATTTTGTCTTCTCAGAAATGCAGCGCGCAGCTGTGAACATGCTGAGTTCAGACTCCGTTCTAGGGGTCCAGCAGCATGCCGGAAAGTATGCGCATACGAACGAATGTGTGCATAATGAATATGACACCTACTTAGCCAAACTTACGGCTCATGACTCGCTACGATTTCAACTACTTGATCTCTTCTTACAGGGGAAAACATTTGCTCCAAAGGTTATTGTTTGCGTTGTTAGTGATGTAGTGGTTTTCTATACATAGTGGAAATTTTGATCTCTGATCGTATAAATGTATGTATACACGTGTCCGTAAAATTTGAAAATAAATTTCTCCGCGTGTGTACGCACGTACACTGCATACGAAGAGGTCAACTTATGAACTCTCAATCCCAACGGAATGCTTTGGCACTGAAATAAAAGACTAAATTCCAAATCTGCTTATTTCAGACTATGTTAGTTAAACACAATTTTCATTCCACTACTGACTGTGTTATGGTTCCCTATACATGACCAGATGACTTCTCAAGTTTTAATAACGAACTTGGAGGCAAAGCAACTGAACCCTTTCATTATGGATCTTTAAGATAATAACCGGCTAATCTACAGATATCTCCTGCCTCCAATTTAGACTGTTAGGGTGGTGTCTTTAGGACCTTGCTCCAAAGGTCTTATCCTAGGGAAATAAACTGTTGCAATGTGCGTTGGAACGATGTATTTCGCTCACTTTCAGCCACTGATAGTGATACTGTTTCTGTACGAGTTTCCACTTAATATAAATTAAAAGGAACTGGTTAGACTGAGGTCTCGGGAACGCGGACCTTGCCCAAACCTGCGGGCCGGTGACTTTTTGTCCAGTTTTGGGGATAGCTGTTCTTCACCTCCATGTCTATTTAGCCACTGGCTTTGTTCAATTTACTCCGAGCTCCTGACGTAGCAGTTAAGCCAATAGGTATCGACCGTCGCAACAGTTGAGTATTTCTTGACCGTAAAGTTATCTGGTTATTAGAAGGGCGGTTTAATCATGAACCGCCAGCCGTGTAAGTAGTATGTGAAGAAAACTTGTCGCATGGTGTCTGACAGCAACGAACAAGTGAACATAGCAGTGCACTTACCCTAGAAGATATGCTCACAAATTGACTAAATGGCTGCGGTGCTTGTTCTTGAGTGACTTTTAATTGTTCTTGTTTTATTGTTCTGATATAGCTAACGCAATGGTAATTTGGCCTAATACGGTTTCATCTCGCTCCCACATTGGGTTAAGGTTTCCGCGTTCACGTTAACTTGGGGTTCCCACTAAGTCTATCCTGATTCTGACTAATCCGAGCAAAGCTGCTGCCAATTCCGGATCGTTCATACAATATCGTAACTGACGTCGCGGCATCAGATTTTTCCATGGGTCTGTACAATGTAAGTAATCCGAATACCGGTTCCGGCTCTCAGGATATCGAGGACTATGTGAATCCTTTTTCTATCTGGTACATCACTGAAAAATACTTCGATTAAGGTAAGAAAATAGGTCATTTTCTCACTACAATTGCACCAGAAGCTTACACACTTAGAAGGAATTTTGTTTTTACTGACTCACTGATCTCATTATCCTATTATGCGCAGAAACCATAACCTCTGAAATAAGTCTAAACAACAAGTTTCGGAGCTGGCGGGATTTGCTAAATTCTGCATATTTTGCGTATTCTCATGCAGCCACATATATACTGATAGTGTGAACTTTACACAAACCGAAGTCAAAGGGAATCAATACCAAGAGTCGATACTCGACCGTGACAGATAATCTTAGCACGGCAAGGCAAGACTGGGCATAATTTTCACTTGCTTACACATGCTAGGCTTTAGGCACCCGTTCAGGCATTAACAACTGGAACTTTTAGCCCTTGGTTTTAACTTGCCGATATCATCAAGTAAATGTGATCGAATAGAACTTGAAACACAGTTGAACACCTTTACGAGCAGCATCCTTTGCGTGAGGCAAGTGACAGAACAAGCGAGCAGCCGGTTTAAAGGCAACTCAATAGGTCTAGACGAACAATTTTAACTTACGGATGCTGAACTGCGTAGGATAATTTCGAACTACCATTGTGCTTCCCTTGCGATGTTACGTCGAAATGATTATGTATAGCAACTGCGGCCCGACAAGGGTTCTGAATTGGTGGTAATGGGTAAAGAATATTAACTGCAGAAAATGCAATACGTGCTCATGTGTAAATATCCATTCTTTAGAGACCAAACTGACCGTGCTAGAACAAACAAGTGGAGAGGACTATAACCAACGAACTGCGAAACTTATACAACGATCGATTGACCGATGCTAAAACCATGACGCTACTATCATTTCGTGCTTCAAAATTTCCTCGGATGTATGGATTTCTGAAGGTATGCAAAGAAGGGATTCTATCGTGTCCAATCCTTTCAATGATAGGAGCGCCGTACCAGAAGTTGGCGTGATGGCTAGCCGGACCGATTAAGCCTATCCGACGCGAACTAATAGTGTATAGCCTAAAATATTCTTTTTAATTCATTGACAAGTTTCAGAATTTAACTGGAACTCTAACTCATGGTGTCCTTCGACATCTGTTTGCTTTTTACAATGTATCCTTGTAGGAGACGCTGGATATTATAGGCAGTTACGCAGAGTAAGTGGGGTACTCAGCGTGTTGACCAAAACACTACCACTAAAACAATAATTCTTCGACTGAAAGCCCTACCGACAAATTAAAGGCGCGTCAAGGGTAAAGCAGTTGGACTCATTTTAGCTGAAAAGTTTATGGCCCATCTGGAGAATACAAGTTTGCTGCTGTCCATACGCCAGTTAACTTGATGATACATTTGTGATTGTTGATGACCATCAACAAGCGGAGGGCAGACTAGACACGTTCAACAGTTGTCACCCGGAGCTCGAATTCACCATGGAAAACGAATCACCAGACACGTTCCACTTCTTGTACATAGCCCCAGAGAGGAGATTGAATAGCACACACGTCATGTTGATTTGCTAAAAAAGGCTTCAATAGCTACACTCCCTTAAGCTATAAACGCTCGTTTGTTCGTACTTCTTTCGTGATAGCCTAAAGAGTATGTTCGAAAGAATCAATTGAGAAGTATATACC